GAGGAAATTCAGCTAACAGCTGTAGTGCAGTTTCCATGTCAGTAAAAGAAGAGTACATTGTTTTTAAGAGGCATCCATTTCTTAGGCAGTGCAGCAAAGGCAGGTCAGTGCTTTCCTTCATCATGATGCAGAAAAGCAGTGGGATTTCAGAAGAAACTTGAAGTTGACTCCATTTTCCAGTGACATTTTATGTCATTGTTACAGAGTTTGTTTAAAGAAGACTCACATGAACCAGTTAGTGGTATGTCTTCCTTCCTGGGTTTCCTCAGAGGAAGAAGGCAGAGCTGTTAAAAGATTGCATCCTGCCATAGAAATGTAATTGCCTCTTATGTCTCCACATTGGGTAGCTTTTCAAGCTGGGGCTATTGCCAAATTGAAGGAAAGAGCGGGACTAAAGGCACGCTGTCACATTTGAATGGCTCATGAGACAGACTTGCCTGTCTTGTATTTCAGGTCTTTGTAGTCTTTGAGGATGTTTCAGGAAGAGGGAATCCTGATCAAAGTGTTAGTCCCTGAGGCTGTCCAGTTATCCTGGGTATACGTAGATTGTCATACTGCTGGGCCTGCAGTCCCCTTGAAATGATTGTGAAGTAGTAGTACATCAGTCAACACTAGATTACAATATTGTAAAATGTAAGTGTTCTCAGAGACAGAGTGAAAGAATGAAGTATACATGTGCTTTCATGAAAGTGGATTTTGTAAACATTTTCCTTTCATTATTTATATATATTAGAGTGGGGTGCTAGTGTATCAAATCAACCTTTTTAGGTTTGCTGCTACTGCTGTTTTGTGCTCCTACTGTTTGTCTGCCTTTTACCTTTAAAAATTGACAGAGTGACATCCTGTTACTCAGAAGCTATATAGTTGTTACTGGATCTCTCCAAATCATTTGTAGGTATCAAAAGTAGGTAATACTGGTGTTAAATCTGTGTTAGTAGAGTGTTGAGAAATTAAGGATTAGTTTCTTTTTTTAAAGAATGAAATTCTTACTTCAAATGTATGAACACATTCTCATTGCAGAGTTTCTAGAACCATAACTCATTGCAGGCTTGTTGAGTGTACAAGTTAGTAAATATATTACCAGAACAAAAACATATCTTAAACAGTGTAGGAAATAATTTATTTTCAATACAACTACCTTACTCCATTTGTACAAAAGGGTGTATCTAAAACAGTATCTTCTAACATACACATTTTCTTTACAATTACTACTTCAGTAAGAATTTTACTTTTTTTTCTCCAAATGAAGGAATAAGACTTAAAATTAAAACCAGAAAAAAATAGAAAACTTGAATTATAGACTGAAACGAAAAGTCCCTATTATTTCTCTCTAAGTTTCATTTTTGTAGAGTTGTACTTCTAACAGATTTGGTATCAGTACACTCTACTGAAATTATCTTGGATGACATCAGAATTCTTCTTAAATCAAAATTATTTTTAAGAGCTGATACAGTTTTTTTTTCATCTGTGTACTGTTTGGTAGACATTCATCTACTGCTAGTTACGTTTGTTGTATTGAGGAACTCCACATTACTTAAGTGAAGTTTTTCAAAATATTACATTATTGAGAAGCAATCAGTTTTGAAAACCGAGTTTTGATGTGTTTAATGTATTTTTTTTCATTCTTTCCAGTGATTAACAAGAGTTCAAAACAAAACTAGTTGTTCTCTAATTTTCACTAAAGAATGTGTAAGTTGATCATCTGGAAGGCCATATTGAAGTTCTAAATAATTAATTTCTGAATTTACAGATTAAATGTTTACATCTCAAACCCAGGTTCAGTTCAAAACTAGACACTGCTGGTTTTTATAATAAACCATAAATCTCATTGGCTAGCCCTCATATATTACATTTTTAGATCCTAGAAACTAAGATTGAAATTGTGTTTTTAGATCAAGGAAGCTGATCTACTACATTCTACTACAAACCACTGTCTGTCATTGAAAACTAATGTAGGAATCTAAACACTGAATTCAGAATACGTAACAAAGAAGTTGCATATCATTTTAAATGCTTGTTTTTATCTTTGCTGCTTTTGCATTGAATCTGTGCTGCTTCTGTGCAACTGTTTTCCACTGTAGAAACTCCATCCTGCTGCCTTGCTTCTCGTGAGCGTATTTACAAAACTAGTGATGTAGCTGGGCCTGCCTCTGCTATTTCATCTCTCTCTCACAAACTGAAGGGTGGGTATGCATGCCAACAGAGCAAGGTTATTCAGATTGTTTACCTGCAAAATGTTTTGGGTTTGTTTTTCTTCCTCCTTCCATTCATTTCCATTTCATTCATGTAAGAAAATGTTTTGAAAGCGAATGTTCTGGGAGCTCATCTGATGTAATCATTCAGTGTTGCCTTCCTGAGTTGCAGCAACTCCATGATACACAATCTAGCTGTCTTTGCTTTGTAAAATGGAAAGTGACTATTAGTCTAATTACAGCTGTTTTCAAACAATAGGCAAAAGAGGTATATAAGAGGAAACAGGAAGTAAAATCTGGGGGGTTTTTGCGTAGAGAGACAGCAGTTTGCTGTTTTATGCAGTTTTTCCTTTGGGAGATTTTTCTTTTTTTGCTGATACTCTTGAATGCTAGTGAGGATTATTTATATGTGCAAATCCAAAACTTTGGTTTTTTAAAAAAACAAGATACTTTTGTTGTTGGAAGCTATTGTTAGGCTATACCTTTCATAAGCAGTTTTGTTCTGGAAAGTTTTCCTCATTGGTATTTGCTAATCATGCATGTACTTTATGCATCCATTTGCTGAATGACTTGAAGTGTTATGTGTCCTCTAAAATGATTATCATCTTTTCACTTTCTTTTCTCTTTACTGAGGCATTCTGTAAAACTTTGAATCAGAAGTATTTTCTCATCTGGCAGACTGGGAAAAATGTGTATAGAAGTAGTTCCAATTTGCATTTCAGAATTTATCACAAAATAAGCATCTCAAAATAGCTCATGAGTAAAACTGGTGAATAATTAAGCTGGTATGGTTGAAATGCTTGGACTGATATTTTCAAAGCTTTTTTTTCTTTTAACAAGAACAGTCATTTTGTAAACCACAATTTACCATGTTATTTCTTGCCTTCCTATTCCAACTTCCCCCTTCCAAGTGAAAAACAATTATAGAACTTGTAAAAATAAAGACAGATTAGACTCTCAAAATTGATTAGGATGATAAATACTTGCTATATTATCGTTATATTTTATTGCTTACATTTGATGTATTATTCTTGAATATAGACACAATATTTCTTCTCTGCTCAGAAAAGTATGAACTTCTGCCATGTCTTGGGAAAGCAGAAAAATATTCTAACTTTCAGGCTTGTTGAATATTGCAATATAATTAATTACCTTCACTTTTTTCCCGTTGTTAATTTTATTGTAAGGTATTTAAATATGGAAATAACAAATAAATAATAATTTTTTGTAACCTGAGGAAGCATCTTGGTTGCTAACTTTTGCTCTAAATTTTTCTTGGTTGTTTTTTATATTAGAAGAGATAATAGTTAGAAAAAATTGCATCTACATATTTTCTAGGGTAGGGGTAAGTGTTAGTGATTGAGAACAACATGAAGTTACTTCAGATCCCATAATGAATAAGAAAGTAGACACTGATTTCACATCTTCTAATACTGAAGGTGCTAGATAAAAGATGACTGTCTATCCTGTTCCCATTAGAAATCAGGGTTTAAATTTGCGAATTTTGTCTGATTAATTGAAACTTTATTTTTTAACAAATAGTTGCTTTCCCAAAAATATGCCCAGGCAAATGCAAATAACCTTTTAGTATCTAGAAATGTATAATATTCCCAAATTGTGTCCTAATTCTGCAGGCTTGTTAGGGAAACACTACTCTTGTTTGACTAATGAAAACCCATTCAAATCAAAAGATTTGAAAAAACTCTGCATTCAAGATTTTGCGTAATTCTGCAGGCTTGTTAGGGAAACACTACTCTTGTTTGACTAATGAAAATCCATTCAAATCAAAAGGATCTAACTCTGCATTCAAGATTTTGCTGTAAGGATTTGTGGAGAGACAGCTGTATTAACTGCTGCATTGCTTGCCAGTAATTTCCTTATTGCTTGGATTAATTTTCATAATACAGTTCTACAAGAGAGACTTGGATCACAGAGGTGAATCTGGAGCAAATTTCCTTAATAAGCTACTTTGTACATACACTTGTTTTGTATGTACTTGTACTAAGCTTCCTGTAGTTCTTACAGCTCTTATAGTCTTATAGCTCTTATAGTCTTGCAGCTCTGTAGATTAATGTATGTGCACAATCAGTGTGCATAGGAACAATAAATGAGTGCATCAAAGTAGGAGGACGTTGTTGACCAGAGTTGGCCATTTAACTTAGTGGTTGAAAAAAGTGGCTTTGTTGTTTTGGAGGGGGGTTTAAGTGTTTTGGTAGCAGAACATGAGGTAGATTTTCCATTTGAAAAAGTAGATTTCATAGATTATCCATTTGAGTCATTTTGAGCATATTTGCAAGCCTCTTGCCCAATTTGCTTTACTAACGGTGTTTACTTCCTGCAATTCCTGGCTTTTGAGCATTGAAGAAAATAAATCTGGCAATACATTTGATCTCTGTTCAAGTCTCCTGTTGCAGCCTGTCACACACATTGAGATAATAGATAAATAGTCCCTGGTTTCTGTTGCAACTGTGGTAAACTTAGTTAATGCCTGGAATTTCACTTAAGGATGTAAATTGTGCTTCCTTTACTACTGTTTTGTAGAAAGAGTGAAGTGTGCCTTTTGATACCTCCACAGTAGTGTTTTCTCTGTAAAAACTTCCTAACACTTGTTTCTGTGTATCTTTGGGAAGAGAAATGTATGAAAAGTATTTTAGGGGGAAAAAGAACCCTTCATGTTTCCTTTCATTTTGATGTGAACAGAAGTATGTGTTTGATATTTATCTTGTGTTCAGATCTTCAGTCTTTGTTTTGTACTATTAAGGGTGTCACTGTCAGCATGTAACAATTCAATTATGAAACATTATACAGGTGACCGAATGAATTTCACAGGAGCTGCTAGACCGATTTCTCCAGCAGGAAAATCAGACATGGCATCAAAGCACAGAGCTGACTGCAGGTCGCCCAAGCTTGATGTGCGCATGAACCGAGCTGCTGCCGAGCAGAAGAAACCCAGAAGTACCGATGGCCTATCAGCCAGCGAGTGCCTGATGCTGAAATCAGACGCTGCAAAGTTGCGCTCAGACTCGCACAGCAGGTCTTTGTCGCCAAATCATAACACTTTGCAAACACTAAAAACTGATGGAAGAACAACTCCTGGTCTGAGAGCTGAATCTCCAGGACCGGGAACTCGGTCGTCTTCTCCAAAGACAAAGACGCTTACAGGCATTAGATCTGGTGCTAGTTCTCCACGATCCTCATCACCCAATGACAAAACTCTACCTCAGAAAGCTTCATCCCCTGTAAAAACAAAGCTTGATCCTCCTCGAGAACGCTCCAAATCAGATTCTTACACGTTAGATCCAGACACCCTTCGCAAAAAGAAAGTGCCACTGACAGAACCCTTAAGGGGGAGGTCCACTTCACCCAAACCAAAAATTACTACAAAAGATGAAAAACCTGCACCAGAAACTGAAAATAGAGCTCCTTCCCCTCACGTCGTACAAGAAAATCTTCACAGTGAGGTAGTTGAAGTCTGTACTTCGAGTACTTTAAAGACTGACAGCATTACAGATACCACCTGTGAAGACAACACCGAATTCAGAAGCCTGGACGATGGTTCTAATAAAGTTCATTTTAGCATTGGAAAAGCACCACTGAAAGATGAGCAAGACATGAGAGCATCTCCAAAAGTGAGCCGTAAATGTGCTGGCAGGCACACAAGACCCAAAAAGGAAAAATCCAACTTCCTTTTCAAAGGAGATGGATCAAAGCCCATAGAGCCTGCCAAGCAAGCAATGTCACCTTCTGTTGCAGAATGTGCTCGAGCCGTATTTGCTGCATTTCTTTGGCATGAAGGAATAGTTCATGATGCCATGGCATGCTCATCTTTTTTGAAGTTTAATCCAGAACTGTCCAAAGAGCATGCACCCATACGGAGCAGTCTTACTCAACAACCTGCAGAGGAAAAAGAAACCAAGTTGAAAAATAGACATTCATTGGAAATATCATCTGCTCTCAACATGTTTAACATCTCACCTCACGGACCAGATATATCTAAAATGGGTAGCATCAATAAAAACAAAGTCCTCTCAATGTTAAAAGAACCACCTCTGCATGAAAAGTGTGAGGATGGAAAAAATGAAACTACCTCCTTTGAAACATCCAGTCATCACGCAATGAAATCTAAGTCTCCTCTTCCGTTAACACTGCAGCACTTAGTAGCTTTCTGGGAAGATATTTCTTTAGCAACTATTAAAGCAGCTTCCCAAAACATGATTTTTCCAAGTCCTGGTTCTTGTGCAGTGTTAAAGAAGAAAGAAAGTGACAAAGACAACAAGAAAGCCAAAAAGGAGAAAAAGAAAAAAGAAAAGGTTGAAGCTAGGCCAAGGGGAAATCTTTTTGGAGAGATGGCCCAACTTGCAGTAGGAGGACCTGAAAAAGATACCATCTGTGAGTTGTGTGGAGAATCCCATCCATATCCAGTGACTTACCACATGAGACAAGCTCATCCAGGTAAGACTCCATATTTTTAATTCCCATTTCCATCCATAAAGTATATTTCACACACATTTTGGAGTTAGTTGCTGTTACGAGAATGTGTCAGGCTATCCTTTATATTACATACAGTAAGTTTAAAGTTACACTTGCATACAGATTATTTGCACATTTTTGTGTGTAATTTTAAGTAGTTAGGGATCTAAAGTTTTTTAGTTGTTTGAAACAATGTCAAAATAATGCTCTGACTTTACAGTAGCTCTTCAGGAACATGCCATGTTTTACACTTTAGGATTTGAAACTGCTGAGGAAATGGAAATAAAAAATTAGATTGGTCGGTTAGAGTTTCTACAATTGGTAGAAGTTTTCTGTTTCTGGTCTACTGTCAAGAGTCGAAACTTCTGTCTGCTCTGTCAGTACTGTATCAGTGACTTAATATTTTTGATGTACTCATTGGTCTGTACTATTTTTTAGCTCTGTGTGTGCAAAGTTAAAGTCCTGGATCTTTCTGGGAAACTCTAATCAGGAAAAGAATATCCTCCATTCCCTCTTAAGCTTTGTTAGCTAGGAGGCGAGAGATTTTTGTGTTTGTTAAAGTACAAAGTATTGTCGGCTAACTTATAATACTGACCTTAACCATAACTTATCTGTCTGAATAGGGAGCTGTTCATGCTTTGGACAAGTTCTTTATAAAACTTGAAAACTGCAGTGCGTTTGTATTCTTTGGACACTGGTGGGATACACGGACAGGACCCTTGTTCTGTAACCAATTCAGATGTAGAGAAAAGTAGAAAATGAGGCCAGGAAAAGACAAGCATCTCCCTTTCTCCCCTCTTCATCCTTCTTTTACAGCAATGAATAATAGAATAAAAATCCTGCTTTTGAAATCAGTTGTTGTCACCTTTCCCCCATGTAGGCTGTGGCCGCTATGCAGGTGGCCAAGGTTACAACAGCATTGGGCACTTCTGTGGAGGATGGGCTGGGAATTGTGGCGATGGTGGCATTGGAGGGAGCACGTGGTATTTGGTGTGCGATCGATGCCGAGAAAAGTATCTCCGTGAAAAGCAAGCAGCAGCAAGAGAGAAGGTATTTTCAGCTCATGTGTTTAACTTTCTATCTGCTTAATAGTCCTGCGTTCACAACTTGAAAAGAAGGGCTAGTTTAAGAAATTCGGAATTTCATAATTCGGGAATATTGTCTTATCCTTATTGTTAGGTTTAAGATAATAAAATAGAAACTTTGCTGGGTTCTGACAGGTTTTCTTCCCTTCAGATGATAGTGTGCTCAAATTTGTAAAGTAATTTTATTTTTTATCCCAGTATAACGACAGGATTGAATGTAATAATGTTGTTAAGTGTCTGTCAGTTTATTTAATTTTGAGTGGTTTTATTTGTTTGCTAAAATGAGTGCTGTTTTAACTTCATGTTTATAGGTTTTTTTTTAATGATTCTAATAATCCAGATCTTTGCATACAAGATGCCACTAGAGGAGTTTTTAATGGGAATAGTGCAAAAAGTGTTTTTCTTGTAGTGGTCTTCAAGGACTAATTTGAAAATCTTCCTCAAAGTATGCAAATACATTGATGTTAATGATGCTAATTTAACTCTATTTTTAAGCTAAACCTTTTGAAACTTTTTGCACACAAAATTAATCTTGAGGCAAATGTCAGAACTATCAAACTATTAAAAGTTTGCAAAGGTAGGAAAGTTAGAGAAATATGTTCTGTCTTAGGAGGCATTTTACAACAGGTAGAACTAAGCAGCTGTAGTATGAGCTAGGTTCTCAGATTTTCCTGTGGTGAATTTAATTATGCCTTATTTAAATTATCTAGATTAAACAATCTAGGAGAAAACCAATGCAAGTTAAGACACCTCGTGCCTTGCCAACTATGGAAGCTCATCAAGTGATTAAAGCAAATGCACTGTATTTACTATCACTGAGTAGTGCTGCTGAACCCAGTATCCTCTGCTATAACCCTGCAAAAGCATTCCAATCTCAACTTCCCAGTCTAAAAGAAGGAATTTCTGAAGACTTTCCCATTAAGATGCCATGTCTCTATCTACAGACATTAGCAAGGTAATTAAAAGATGTGTATTGAATATTGATTCTAACACTCATCTGTGTAGAGCATTGGATAAAAATGTGTGTGTAAACTAAATTAAAACTTATGTAGAAAAATACATATTTTCCTAATTCTTCATGTTTTTTTCTTCTGTCTGTTTTGATCCATGATCTTGTTCAATCTTTTAGATTGTATTTTCTCCTAGAGTCAAATTTGCCCTAAGTTGCTTTCAGATGCTAAATATTTTATAACAGTTCAGTTTCTGTCCAAAGAATTCAGAATTTCCCAAAGAGTTTAACTTAGTGTGTTAGTAGCAGACATATGTGCTCCTTTTTTCTCTTCACAGTTAAAAGTAGTAAAAAGGAAATCAGAAGACTTGTGCTTTCTTGGTAATTCTAAGTAAATGTCACGGTAGTGTCTCATCTATGTTGGGTAGACTTTTGGACCTAAAATACATTCAGGAAATATCTGACGAAAATACTGAAAGTTAGAAAAGAGTGATCCTCACTACCTGTTGATTGAGAATGCCACTGCCTCTTCCATGAACACTTCAAAGCCACTACCAGCTTAAAAACATTAATAGTTGAAGAGTACATGACTAGCATTGGCTGATGAGGTGTATTGGCAAAACAACTTTTGTGTACGCATGTGTGTTTCAGCAGGTTTTAATCTTTAATCCTAATTTTAAAATTTCATTTGGTTTAGGCATCATCATGAAAATTTTGTTGGGTACCAGGATGACAACCTGTTCCAGGATGAGATGAGATACTTGCGTTCAACTTCAGTACCTGCACCGTACATCTCCGTTACTCCTGATGCGAGCCCGAATGTCTTCGAAGAGCCAGAGAGTAACATGAAATCTATGCCCCCAAGGTACTTCCCTGTAATTCTAGATGCTACATACAAATGTTAAAACAGTTGTATAACACCAATTTAAAAAAAAAAAACAAGAAAACATTGCTGCAGTTAAGACGCTAAAGTATCAGATCTGTCTCTGAAATGGCAGCGTAAAAGCCAAAAGCATATGAAGCTGCAGTTAGGAAATTTTCAGTGAATCATAGCATATCAGGTGTATTTTCAACTGTTAGCAGTGAAATATATTTGAATATGTAAATATGCAAGGAATATACAAATCAGAACGGAAACTTTTTACTGTACTTCAGTTACTTCTCTGTAGAAAGATCCTGGGTTTACAACCCAAATACAAAAAAGAATTTGTTCAGCTGATAAGGACTCTTAGCATACAAGGAAATTTATCCATAGCCTTTACTTCAGGCCTGTTTATTTCCCCATAAAGAAAAATTTTCTAGCATCTGCAGAACTGAAGAAGTGATCTAAAGATCAGTAATCCAAGGAGTGTAACTGTTGCAAACTCCTTGAAAATGTAGCAGTTTTTTTTTTACTCTATATCCGTTCTTTACCACAGCTGATTGAGTGCAGATTAAGGAGCTTTTTTGAAAGGAAGTAGCTGTTGTTCTCCTTTCAGCATTTCATTCTGAAGGGAAGTTTGATCAGGAGGAAATTTCATTACCTTACACTTTTCAAAGCAGATGTTGTTGCTTTGTTCTGTGGGACATAAAAATGTCACCAAAGAAATGACAACGCTGTCTAGGACCGAGAGTGCTAGATGGTTTCTGTCAGGTTAAGCCACTTTCTTGTCATGTTATGTTTACTGTGATTGAATTCAAGCAGGTATTAAAATTTTTGTTGCACCAGGGAAAAAATGGCTCTTACTCTTAATAATAGTCCAGAATCTACTTAGATGCTCAGTGTTCTCAGATGTCAGTGATTCCTCATGTTATAGTGAGGATGTAATGAAGAGAAAATATGCTTTTAATCTGTTTTTATTTCAATTTGTTGTATTTCATACTGACTGCACAAATAGTTTATTGGAATACTACAATCTATAATGTAGTCTTTTCAGAAATAGAACTTTTCTAACAAAACTCCTTAAGAGTGCATCGTATTGGTATATTCCTTTATTAAAACTGTGGACACCATGGTCTCCTGAGGCCTGTAGGGACAGCATAAGCTGGGAGTCCTTCTGCAGACTGTAAGAAGTCCATGGAAGGTAAGGAGTAAAACATGTCAGAGGTATAGCTGTAGCAATTCAAATTTGACTTTAAGGCTAATGATGTTGGAAACTATTACTTCACATAAAGTTCTAAATTTCAGTTGGCTTGCATATTAAAAATTCACTTCATAGATGTTTTCACATGCATTCTCAGGAGAAGTTTGGTCTGAAACTTCAAATTAGGCATGATCTGAATGTTTGTATTTCTCTAAAAGAAATGCCTAAATTCTTGGAACTCATCGTGTTCATCATTACATTTGTTTATAAAGCACTTGCATGCTTTTTCACCATGTGTAATTCTAATATGTGCCTCCTTCTTTTCCAGCATTTAAACAGTTCTTAGGTACATAAGACAAAGTTTCATGCAGTAGTAACATTGTGATTATGAAATGCATGTATCCTTATTAATTCTTGGTGTATAATTCAGATACACTGTATATATTTGTTAATGAGTGTATTACTTCACTGATTCCTTTGTAGTTTGGAAACCAGTCCAATCACAGATACAGATCTTGCAAAGCGTACAGTCTTTCAAAGATCATATTCAGTTGTTGCATCAGAATATGACAAACAGCACTCAATTTTGCCAGCACGTGTAAAAGCAATCCCCAGGAGACGAGTCAACAGTGGAGATGCAGGTGAGAGCATAGACATCAGAAGCAGGGGAAAATGATTCAAGGATTTGCAGTTCTTGGAAATTGTAGACAAATATATTTTTTATAAATACACGTCACTTTTTAGTTATAAAACAAAATAACAGTAAACATTAGGTGTTTGGTAATTTGCACAGAATTAACCTAAAATTGGATTAGGATTTACTGTAATTCTAAAATTTGTGGTGAATCTTCTGTGCCTGATTTAAAAGTGATGGTGTTATTTTCTCTCTCAGTTGAAGCATCATTTTTCCATATTGCTTTTTTAATGGGGTTTTCTCTCAGAAAAAAAAAAAATCGTTCTAAAAGTGCTGTATTGCTTTTCATTTTTACTTTGGCTATAAACTTGAAATGCACAAGGAATCTAATGTATGCATATTTTTATGCTTTTGAATAGAAGTGGGGTCCTCTCTCCTGAGACATCCATCTCCTGAACTTTCTCGGTTAATCTCCGCCCACAGCTCTCTTTCCAAAGGAGAGAGAAATTTCCAGTGGCCAGTATTGGCATTTGTAATCCAGCATCATGATCTAGAAGGACTTGAAATAGCGATGAAACAAGCCTTACGGAAATCTGCTTGCAGAGTCTTTGCCATGGAGGTATTCATGTACTGATGGCTCTTGTATGATTAAAATAATGTGGTTGTAAATTCTGCCTTGGAAAATTTTTTTAATTTTTTTAACTGTACTATAGTTGTCATTTAAATAAACTGTTTTAGCTACAGAGCGATAATATATTACTTGAAGACCTTTGCATTATTATTTGCCTGTCCAAATCATCAATGCACCTCCTTCAATAAATGGTGTAAGAAATGGTTTTACTCCAGGTTTGCTTAACCAGTTGGTAACTCCTTGTATGTAATTTGTTTTAGGCCTTCAACTGGCTTCTTTGTAATGTCATTCAAACAACTTCTCTCCATGATATTTTATGGCATTTTGTGGCTTCCCTGACTCCTGCACCCGTAGAGCCTGAAGAAGAAGAGGATGAGGAAAATAAATCAAATAAAGAAAATGCAGAACAAGTAAGTGAGGTTCTGCTGATTTTGTGGGCAAATTAGAAATACTTCCATATGAAAAACAAAATTCCTTAATCCTCACTCTGTGAAAAAAACTTTAAATTGTAGTTGAATTAATTTTGTAGACATAGATTAATTTTTTTTCCGAATCATCACTTTCTATGTGCTGATGAATCACGAGGTCTTCTAAAGCATTATTTTTTAGTATTCTTGGGAAATAGGAAAGCAAAAAAAGCACAAGCACGTTGCCAATCCATTTTTAAAAAATAACCATTTGCTTTTTATTCCTCTTTTGCCCTCTGACGAGAGAGAAAATATTTTTAGAGAAGCTTGTTTACTATGTCGTTCAGTGTTCTAAAAAAAGTTAATTATAAAAATGCATAGTTAATTTACGTACTGCTGTGTACATGTATGTATCTAAATGATTAAATAAGTAATTATATGTGCAGTAGGTATACTTAATTCAGTGATTTAAGAAAAATCTATAGTTCTGAAAACGTAGCCTGAAAAACGGTGCATCTCATACTACGGTGCATCTAACATCTCATACTTCCAAAAGATATCTACATACAACCTATTTTAGACTTTGCTCTGATTTAAAACATTATCATATCCACAATGAATAGCTCAAAAAAAAAATCATGCTAGTGTTGTCAATAAGTCAGGTGAATCTTTATCACTTCAAATCTAATCCAGTTTTGAAATTAGTTGTTCTGCAATTAGTCTTTCCAGCAGTGTAACCTGCTACCCTGCTTTTCTGATACTGACACACCTTAACTAAGAATTATTATTTTCAGAGCTCCAATGAAATGCAGCAACTGATAATATCACCTTAGTTATCAAGTTTGCTATGGGTGGATTTTGCTTCTCAGATCAAATTGGTTTCAACTGCTGGAATATGTTATTTATTTCTGGTTTGTTTCTTTGTTTTCAAATTATTGCCGTATAATGTTTCATATCTTTAAATCGTGAGAAATGTGTGGCAGTATACAATACACTTCCCAAATCCCATGTTTGAGGCTTGTGTGTAACTTACTCCAAAAATTCTCTGACAGGAACTGCGTGAAGTTCACATTCATTGTAAGATTGTTGCAGTTACTCTTACAGCAAATAGCAGAAATGTTTTTCTTTACTTAATTTTTTGTCTCAGAAAGTCTGTTAATAACACCCAAATCGCTTTGCTCTCTAGGAAAAAGACACACGAGTGTGTGAACACCCTCTGTCAGATATAGTGATTGCTGGGGAAGCTGCTCACCCCTTACCCCACACTTTCCATCGCCTTCTTCAGACAATCTCTGATCTTATGATGTCTCTTCCCAGTGGTAGTGCATTGCAGCAAATGGCCTTAAGGTAAGCACAAAGCAAGAAAATTCTTGAAAAGGCTGGAAGTGTTGTAGAATTACAGGTTAAAAGATTTTACAGTGTAAATAGGATGCTTGAAAGCTTTGTGCGAGAAGAAGCACATCTGTCCTCACCACTAGGAAGGAGATGCATAGAAGACACTAAAGTGTTTATATGCATAAATAATAATATAAAAGACTTTGTAGAGGGAAATGTACTTTCTTTTAAATTCTATACTGTGTCCACTGTGAAAAAGAAAACATCTAATAGAATAAGATGGAAGGATCTGTGTGTATGTGCATGGCTTTGTAGTGCTCTTTGCTCAGAAATCTGTCAGCTGGATTGTACCTTTAAACTTTGAGATTTTTTCTGTGTATTTGTCTCAAAGACAAAAAATTAATAATAATGGTTGCATTTACTACTAAAATTCTAAGAAAAGTTTATTGCTGCTTTCCTCAAAAAGGTGCCCTAGAAACACTTGAGATCCTGCAAATTTGAAGTTAAATATTTCTAGAAAATACTTTAAGAAGCAAAAGTGCAATTAATAGTTTCATGGATAAGTTATGTCTTTTGCCAACATTTAAATTTCAAAGTCAACTAAATGTGTTTTCAGGTGCTGGAGTCTTAAATTCAAACAATCTGATCACCAGTTCCTGCACCAGAGCAATGTTTTTCATCATATCAACAATATTTTGTCGAAATCTGATGATGGAGATAGTGAAGAGAGTTTTAGTATCAGCATTCAGTCTGGTTTTGAAGTCATGAATCAGGTAAGTATTACAGCTCTGGCTCAGAAGCAGACATATTTGTGAACAGTCTGTACTTCCGATGATGATTCTCTTTAAATTAAAAAGATTCTTTATTGCAATGTCATATTTTCTTGAACATAGTTTAGGGTCTTGTTCCTGCTATTTAGGCTCTCATATTTAGCTTTAGAGGTTCAAATATTGACCCTTAGCCTGTGTATCACTCAAAGCTAAATTTTGGAGGAGTGCTTGTTTGCAAGTAAAGTTTTTGGGGAATGTCATGGAGTTGGTTAGCTTTTTTAATATTGTGTACTTCCAGTTCTTCTTTGCTTACATCTTTTTCCTTCTGTTTTTCTGAGGAGCATGAATTAATACTTCTGTTTAATATTTTTAAGTGTTTTCTTCCATTTAGTAATATATTTAGGCATTTGCTAATATATTCAGCTCTTAGCTATTAATGTTTCCTTTGGCTTAAGGGACTGAATAATTTGAATCAATAAAGGACAAATTTCTTGGAGAGTATATTTCACCAAAACAGAAATGTCTGTGTGGTTTTAAAAACTGTAAACCATGCCCATGTATTTGGGCTTACTCTCAAGTATTTTAAAAATTCCCATTTGTTTTCACAGGAACTGTGTATAGTAGTTTGTCTGAAAGACCTAACCAGCATTGTTGACATTAAGACATCAAGCCGACCTGCCATGATTGGTAGTTTAACAGATGGGTCTACAGAAACGTTCTGGGAGTCAGGAGATGAGGACAAAAACAAAACTAAAAACATCACAATCAACTGTGTAAAAGGAATCAATGCACGTTATGTTTGTGTTCATGTAGACAATTCCAGAGATCTTGGGGTAAGAGGAAAATAAAACTGTCTGTCATTGAAGGTGCATAATCCAAGCTCTGTGTGTTTATCAATGAAGAAGCGCTGTTTTCTTTGTCAATTGGTAATTCTAATGCTGAAGTTCACATTTCAAAGTGAAGTTTCCAAGTCCTGTGATTTAGAAAGCAGGAACTGTTATGGTCAGACCAGTCTGTCTGAATTTGCAGTTACATAAAACTGAAACTGGGAAACTTAATTCTTAGTGGCATGTTCTATTTCAGACACATTTCCAATAATTTGATTCTTGTATGTTACTTTTCTTGTTCATGGTTTCTTCAGAAGCATTGAAATAAGGACCTGTCATAAAATCCAAATTTTCTGGACTTTCTACTTTCTAGAGAGGCTTTCTAGAACTAGAAAGACTTTCTAGTTCTTTTTTATTGATCTGTACAGTAATGTTACATATATATATATCTGTATTTCAACTACAGCTTTTATTACAAAGTGCAGACTGTGTTAGAGAACTGTGTTTTGGGATTCTTTGTCCTTACTTTTGATCATGGGGGTTTTTTTGTAATGAAGCAATTTTTCTCTTTTATGTATGTACTCTCTTAATACAGAAGTAGTCAGAACTGTCTCAGTTGAAGTGTTTCTTTCTTATTTTGCTTGTTTGTTGCAGAACAAAGTGACCTCCATGACCTTCCTAACTGGCAAGGCAGTAGAAGATCTCTGCAGAATAAAACAGGTAAACATTTTAACAGTTGACATACAATAACTGCTGTCATTTTTTGTGCACATACGAGAGATTTTTCTGAGCGAATAGTTTCCATTTCTTATGGTGATAAATTAGTTTGCAAGTATCAGACATGATAATAAGCCTTGTAATTGGAAAATACTGTATTACTAATGACAGAATTCAGTTATGTACTGGCTATTGATTTGTATGCACTGGCTATTGATCAAGCTTTTAGTCTTCTACTGAAACAGAACAGGGTTATCTAAAATGTTCCTTAGATTAATTTAGTTTTAATTACTATGTGGTAACTTATCCTTTCAGCTGGAGAAGGTTTCCCAAAAAAACTCCCAGAACACAGGCAGGGACTGATTCAGCTTTGCTTCCTCTTTGCTCTGACACTTTCCCAACAGCTTTTTACCCTCCAGCACACCCACATACTGTATCCTGTCTCATGATATTAAAAAAAAAAAGTTAGCTGTCTGCTGCAGCACAGTTCAATGCAGACATTGAGAATTAATGTAGAAATGGAAAAAACAAACATCAGCTTCATTTGAATGAGCCCATGGATAGGAGAGAGGGTTCACTTGGCTCAGGGCTTGGGTTTCTCTGAGTAGTGATGTGAGGCACTGCACCCTATCAGTGCTTAGTTTCCAGTAGTAACACTGTAGTTTCATATGAAATATATGATTTCATATAGCATGATTTATGTTGGTTTTTTTTTTAAAGAGTACTTATTTTAAAATACACTTAATTTGATACGGTTCATCTCCCCTTTTTTACAGTTAAGTCCTGCATGTCCTGGTGTAAGGGTAGCAAATACTGACTTCCACAGAGTAACAATTTCTTTAGCAGGGGTTTGTGTGAGTAGAGATGAAATAATGTGTGAAATTATAATTGTGTGTTGTATTTTCAGTTCAATTGTAGAGGCTGTTTTTTTTTTTCTTTTTTCATAACAGTAGTGACCAAATATTAGTTTTAAGAGTTGTTTTTTTTAATATATGAACTGTTGCTTTGCGGATAAAAGAGATAGATTGGCCACTATTTCTAATCAGCTTTACAGATAAAACTGAAATGGCTATATGTCACTTTTTAATCTGAACTCAGGAGGTTGAATATTTTTGTAATTAAATATAATTCTTTCTGCTCAGGTTGAGATTTTTATTTCAAGCACAGTATTTGTTACAGTGATATATATAATAATAGGTGACTTTTTGTTTGATGTAATGTCAGTTTCCAACTTTATATTTCTCTTTAATAGGTAGACTTGGATTCAAGACATATTGGCTGGGTAACAAGTGAGCTTCCTGGGGGTGATAATCACATCATCAAAATTGAATTGAAGGGTCCAGAGAACACATTAAGAGTTCGACAAGTGAAAATTCTTGGCTGGAAGGATGGTGAAAGCATTAAAATAGCAGGCCAGATTTCTGCGAGTGTGGCTCAACAAAGAAACTGTGAATCTGAGACACTGCGAGTATTCCGACTTATAACATCCCAGGTAGGATTTTAATGATGTGTTACACAGTGAAAGTTACTGTGAATTGTAGACTTTAAGTGGTTTATGTTTTAATGGAAAATGTCACATCTGCACTAGTTTATCTTTGAGAGACAATAATTATCATTGTCTTTCTTCCAGGTATTTGGGAAACTTATCTCCGGAGATGCTGAGCCAACCCCAGAACAAGAAGAAAAAGCACTGTTGTCATCCCCAGAAGGAGAAGAAAAAGTACACAATGTATTTATTTGTATTCTATCCATAATACTTTGCTGAAAAAAATTATCCAGGATGATATTCAGTATTTGTTCTGTTTCTTGTGCTGCATAATTTTTAGATCAGAACAAAAGTAAAATGTTGCAATTGTGTATTTTTAAAATATCGTATTGTATTTTTAATACTAAACCACAGTGTCTTTTTTAAAGTAAATTATAACTGAGGCATATGCATTTAATGGAAACACCATATTAATGGTGATGCAAATGATGCCTACAATTAGAGGAGTACTTAACAGCTGTAGTAATGGTCAGCATGAAGGTTCTGGCCGTTATCTTTTGCTTCAAGAGAGGCTCTGTTAATATGTAGAAAAAAGTATGAAGAAACTGCACTTCATATGTTTTGCGTGTTATTTCATTTGATGCTTCAATTCCTCTTACAAAGAGAAAGTTAATACTTAATTGAAGAGGTATTTATTAAGCATAGCTAAATGGTCTTGGTTATATATCTTCCTGTAAAAAAAGTTACTAACTTACAAAACACAGTTTGTTGATACATTCTATGTTAATTGCTACAGAAATTAGGAAGAGTTCTTGAAACTTTTGATCTAATATTAAACATGCTTTTTATGAAGGCAACATCAGATGCAGACCTGAAGGAGCACATGGTAGGGATCATTTTCAGCCGGAGCAAACTGACGAATTTGCAGAAACAGGTTTGTTCCTTTTGAAGTTATTTGAGGATTAAATATTGGTATCTTGTAATAAATAAGCTCAATTGCAGTGAATATTGCTATGAAGATTTTCACAATAATAGAGCTGTTAATTAATTTTGAAATTTTTTAGTTTAGTAAATTAAGCAGAATCTACTCTTGTCACTCATCTTAGCAAACATTATAGTCCTCTAAAAATGCTTTTTATCGTGCTATTGTTTCCAAAACTTTTTTAAAGTTTTCTGATCAGTAAACTGAACAAGAGACTATTTTAATAAGTGCTTTTTATTTGTGTGTGTTGAGTATTTCTGAAGAAAATGTATTTCTTAAGGGGTTTATGTGGAGTGGTTTTTTTGGCCTGAATTCAATGTAAAAAGTAAATTAAAAGGATCTGAAATAAAATATAAAATAATTTCAATTAAATTTTCCAGAACATAGATGAGCGAATTCAGCATTTTATTCTTCATTTGAATTTATGCTAAAAAGTAATTTAAGTGCAAGCCAGTTTCCACAGGTTTCCTATTTTAGCCATACTTGTGAAGGTATCTAAACCACAACATTTTGCACTTGCTGAAAGTTTTTAAGAGCTGCTGTGGTTTGGCAGGTGTGTGCCCACATCGTGCAGGCCATCCGGATGGAGGCGACGCGCGTGCGCGAGGAGTGGGAGCACGCCATCTCCAGCAAGGAGAACGCCAACTCGCAGCCCAGCGACGAGGACGCCTCCTCGGACGCCTACTGCTTCGAGCTGCTCTCCATGGTGCTGGCGCTCAGCGGCTCCAACGTGGGCCGCCAGTACCTGGCCCAGCAGCTCACTCTGCTCCAGGACCTCTTCTCCCTGTTACACACGGCTTCTCCCAGGGTGCAGAGGCAGGTCAGTGCTGACCGCGCCTCCAGTGTCTTGGTATTGCTGGAAAAGTGTCTTCAAAATACTAAAATCATGTGCTTGGAAAAAATATGGCATTTCTTTTGGGAATTTAAGTGCCAGGTTTTAGGGTGTTTGTTTTTTCTAATGATTGGAGCATGGTAGAAATGTCTGTCAGATGAACAGCACAGTGGTTTTTCAGTATTTTCTATTATGTGTATATAATGCTCATGTAGCCTATGCAGGTAAGATGAGGAGGTCTTAATTGCCAGAGCCTGTTATGGACCTGGCATGAGTCCTTAGTTTCTGTGTCTTTACACTCAGGCTCTAAGTGTAGTAGTGTGGAACTAGACAGCTCCTTTCTACTCTTGGTATCCTCAAGGTGAGTTTTAGTATCTGTTTCTTTCTGAATTTGAGTGTTATCTGAGGGTATATATAGTTATGTGCATATAATACATAAATAATATGTTAATAATATATAAACATATAAAATATTTGCATTAGTACAGTTAATGCACTGTTTTGTTGCTAGGTGCTGTGCCTTCTTCAGGTGGATTTCAAGTTTCGGTTGCAGTAGTTTTTATGTTTCATACTCTTTATTCTTCCTTTTACCATTTTTGAGCTCACCTTGCTTGCAGGCAGATTACTTAGTAGTTGTGATACATTGCAGATAGGCAATAGCTTTTCAAGAGAACATTGAGGGCTTGCAAAATTACATATGAAATGTTAAGTCCTTAAGCGTTCATCAGCTTTCATGCTGATTTGGACCAAACTTTGCATAATATGTGCAATTTCAATCCCAGCTTCACCAGTTGGTAAGGTTATACCATTTCAAGACAAGTCTTGTTGGGTCCAGAGCTATTGAGACAGCAAAAAAATTCCAGTTAGACTATCAAAAGGAAAAACAAAGGCATTGGAAAAGAGTATTATAATTCTTAGTACCTCAGGCAAGTACTTTGTTTCCAGAAGTCCAGGAAACAAGTTGGACTACCACAGTAGTCTACCAGTTTCTGACATCTCAGTAATACATATGAAGTGGGTACCATGCAAGCAAATCAAAGTTGTACAAACATCTGTATCACTCTTACCCTAAGTCCAGTACCAAACATAATTTTGTTATTATATGGAGACCAAGTATTGTTTGGGTGAGATCAGTTTTAGACTCTTTGGCCTTGTCTTGCTGCTTACATTAATAAACACTTCATCATTATATAGAAATACTGCAGAATTTCTTACAGGAGTAATTAAGTACAGCAATTAGACTGAGTCCTTCTAACTGAAATAAATTGTGAAGAAGGACTTTATGTGATTTTTCTTGAAAACTCCAGCTGTCTTGGTAAGAACTGTGGTGTTCTGGGTTTTTTTTTCTCCAGGTAACATCATTACTGAGGCGTGTTTTGCCCGAGGTAACCCCCAGTCGCCTTGCAAGTATTATAGGGGTGAAGTCTCTTCCACCAGCAGATATAAGTGATATAATTCACTCAACAGAAAAAGGAGATTGGAACAAACTAGGTATCTTGGACATGTTTTTGGGATGCATTGCCAAAGCTCTCACTGTACAGCTAAAGGCCAAAGGAACTACTATCACAGGGACAGCTGGCACTACTGCAGGCAAAGGAGTCACTACAGTCACACTTCCAATGATTTTCAATTCCAGGTTAGTTTAAAAATATGTAACAAACTACTACAACCTACTGTATGCTGAGTATGTACACTGTTTCTTTGTGCTGGATTTTGACAAATGCTAACTATTTGAGTTTATTTCATCTATTACCATTTATCCTTTGCAGCTATATTCGGCGAGGTGAAAGTCATTGGTGGATGAAGGGGTCAACACCTACACAGATTTCAGAGATCATCATTAAGCTCATTAAAGATATGGCAGCAGTGAGTTTCTATCCTTTAAATGTGGATGATATTCAAATATTTCTAATATCTGAGTATCAATAGTAAATCTTACATGTGAAGTAAAATAACAGCATTGTTTTCATGTAACTGTATGTAGACATACTGTATGGATTTTCTGGTTGAGACTGACTTCTTTCAGTCGCTGAAATCTACACTTGTAGTTACTTATTACTTTGTTTATTTGGGCTTAAATTTTCCATAGTTCTTCTTCAAGACAATTTTTGGAAGAAAAATTGAAGAAAAGTGAATCAGTTATTTCCCAGAAATAATACTGGCAAAAGAAAAAAAGGCTCTGAATGTGTTTCTGAGAAAAAAAAATTAGATAGGAGGTTGTTTTTGTTTCCTTTAATTCTGCACCTATTTCAGTGAGATGCTCTAAATGACCCAGATTTTCCTCTGTGAATACCCTTTGAAAGGTTTTTCAGTATCTTCAGAATGGAAATCCTATTTTCTAAACCATTCACTGTGCTTGGTTTAAGGAGGTTCCTTTTCTCCAAAGTTGCTGAAGCTGGATGGGAGTTCTCTCTGTTCATTCTGACTGCAAGATTTTAGAATCTCATAATCTATAAGAGTTACAATTAAATTAAAGTCTGTCTGTGTTGGAAAACTTTTTTTTGAAGCTTTTTAGAGCTGCTAATTATCAGCAAGGTGGCATCAGTCTAACTATTCTCTTCATAAGAGTTACAAATGTGATTCCTTTCACATAACATTTTCACTGTTTGCAATGTGTAGGTACCCATATCTGAGTTAAGTCACTATAGCTTCCTTTTTAGAGTCCAGTGACTCTCAATTATGTGTCACCTTCAGCATGAAGTTTAGGACTTTAGAGCTTACAATAAGAATTGAAGGATGCAGTAGCCTCTGAAACAGAATCAGAAACTTGAGAGTATGAGTCAGTGCCATAGGCTCAGAATGTTAAAGATTGGAAAGTGTACTGTGGTTCTGATGTTTGCTGTGTACTCCTCTTTATTTCTTTCTAATACAGGAACTGTGGAGTCTATTCAGGAGGCTAAGCTAGGCATATGAAGCTAATTTTCTAGGAGCCCACTGTGATCTGTGTGCTGATTACAGTCATTTATCCATGCTACAGCTCTGCATCTTTATTTCTCCAGACGGGGTGGGGAACACTTTAGGAAAAGACTTCCCATTCTTCATATCATATGCCCTCTACCTGTTCAAAGTTAATTATTCCAGTAATTGCTCAGAGACAACCTCAATCAGTCACCTCAGTATTTGAGGGCTAATTTTTACCAGATCTGTCTGATTTGAAAATCAAGGCCAGGTTGGATAGGACTTCGAGGAACTTGGTCTAGTGGAAGGTGTCCCAGCCCTTGGCAAGGGGTTGGAACTAGATGATCTTGAAGAACCCTTCCAACATAAATAGTTCTGTGAAAACACCTAATTTATCAGTCATCCCCGATTTCCTCTTTGTCTGTTCTAACTTGAGATACTAACCTAATGTTTTGTAGCAGTTCTAATTACAATTTTACTTGCTCTTAATATTAATAAACCTGCAATAAATTGAGTTTCCTCTTTAACAGGGTCATCTGTCAGAAGCTTGGTCACGCGTGACAAAGAATGCTATTGCTGAAACCATCATAGCTCTGACCAAAATGGAAGAAGAGTACAGATCACCTGTGAGGTGCATTGCAACAACCAGAGTAAGAACTTCACCAAACTTAGCATTAGTTCATTGTAAATGTGCAGTAGGAGCCCATTCAAGAACCTTCTCTATGTCAGAAATACACAAGCCAAAACTGAATTAGAATTCAATGTGCATTTAGGGAATCTGAGAAATAATGAAGAATAAGTGTGATGCCTGTATATATTTGGGGGTTTACTCTTTAAATAATTCTGCTTGAAGTTTGTCACATTTGCCTTACACTAAATGTGAGATCATCTGTGTGGAAAATTGCACAATATGTATCAGCTGTCTCTTTCAGCTCTCCAAGCAATTATAAGTGGTTTGACTTCTAGGTAACCAGTTGCCACATTTCAAGGCTATTATGAAAACACTCTAACAGATGTTTTCTAGGACAATTAAGCTAAGCTTCAGTTGTGTTTGTCTCAAAAAATATTTGCGGAGCTCTTCATTCCTGACATGGTGTAACCTGGTGGCTTTCTTTTCTTGGTCTTTACCTTGTCTGTGAATCTTTTTTAGAAACTAAGGACTACTTTAACCTTAACAGATTGCTTGAAATACCAAGAAAAGCATATTTGTAAATTATGACATTCCTGCTGTCATAGGGAGCACAGATTTTTAGCTTCTCAACCTGAATAATTACATGTAAAAGTAAAAAAAAAGTGTTTATTTGCAGTGGTTTCAAGCATTTGACACTCATGTTGTTTTCCATCTTAAAAGGCTGTACCAGTTGTTCTTTTCATCATTTTTGTTATTACTATAGTCTCTGCTTTCTGGAAGTCACAGTCTTGGATCACCACTGGCTTCTGCTGTTGTCACATTAGTTTAATCAGGTCTTAGAGGAGCCCTGAATGTTAGCCCAGCCGCTCCTGTGACTGAGTGTAGTTCTGTCCTGGAGATGTGGGGTTTTGGGGGAGAGTTCAGTAAAGTTTCTCAACAAAAACAATTTTATTCAAATCAAATATTTGATTAAAGATTGCTCCAAAAAGCAGTTGTCAAGTGCCTTTCAGTTTTGTTTGCAGTGACAAATTATCCTCATGTAGCTCATCTGTTCAGGATTTCTCTGTAGTCAGTGGACAAGAAGAGAGAAAAGCTTCCTTTGACTAATTAGCTCAGAACCCTTTTCTAGGTAAAGCCAGTTGCCCTGTGCCGTGAGGAGGGAACAGGAAAATCAGTCTCACTGTGCTTGAGTTTTTGGGTGGTTGTTTTTGGGGTTGATTTTATTTTTATTAGTCTGTGTCCTTGAATTTCTTCTTCCCCAAAGCCTGCAATGTTTGGGTCAATGTACAAGTCTGTATTTGTCATATTTCTTCATAACGTGCTTTGGTTGATCTTTCTTTACTTTTTTCTTTCTTGTGTGCCGACTACTGTATTTATAATCATAAAGTGACATACCTGAAAGAAACAAGGTAGTTCCCAAAAGTTAAATAAGTTTTATTGTGTTCCTGACTTATTTGGGAAAATAAACTTGCATTGTATGAGCAGGCTTCAGCTAACAATAACAGAGTTTGCAGGTAACGCTGACATTCTTACCTGACAAAGTTTATCTCTTCAGTATTTCGTTTGTTTTTAATATGGCTAAGACATTTAATTCTACTTTGCCTTTCAATAGCTGTGGCTGGCCTTGGCATCCCTCTGTGTACTTGATCAGGATCATGTTGATAGACTATCCTCAGGAAGATGGATGGGAAAGGACGGGCAACAGAAACAGATGGTGAGACTGAAAATCATACAGTTTTGTGTTTATTTTGATACATTCACTCATAAAAGAATTTAGAATTATGATATAGAATGGTAAAATTGGCCTTTCTTCCTTTTCTTCTGTCCCAGTGGGGATTGTATATATGTTTGAAGTATTTGCGTTCTAGATAAGTATTGCTCAGGAAACAGAAATTCCAACTTAAAACAGTACTGTTGCAATCCTGTCAGTTCAGGATGAAACAAGGCCTTGCTCACACCTGTGGCATGAGTAGATTTTTTAGTAGATTGACTCAGTTTGTACAGCACCCTCTATCAGAGCTTTTTCTTTCTGTCTTAATCCCTGTCACAAAGTAAAATCGATTCTTTTGTGTTACTCAGTAACTACTTCTCTGTAATTTAGCTTCCTCTTCCCCATCTCACTAGAGAATGATTACCCCAGGAAGAAACTCCTTCTAACTGAATTTAGCAAAACTACCATTGACTCGGAGGATTTATAAATTTAATATGGAATATGATTGTCTCCATACTTTTCAGTTAACAAAATGCCTGTAATTTTCCGTGTGACAAAAAGGTTGTGATTTTTTAATACCATTTTAGGAAGAGCACAGTAATGGAGCTGGTCTCTGTAAATTTTGGTTAGGTGGATCCCTGTGGGAAGCAAGGGAAGGGTGTGCAATACCAACCAAGCATGGTTAGAGCAAAGAAGATCCAAAGCAGTTTAGTGTAGGTAGAAACAGAATACAGGAGGCATAGAGCTGCGGCAGCAGCAGGAATAAAACTCTGCTGAGATGGAAGCAAACAGAAATTTCAGAGGTGATTAAGTCAAAGGTCTTGCAGATGTCAGAGGAGCATCCAAGACATTAAGCAGGTATTCAAGCTGCTGAACCCAGCCTGAAATTCCCCAGTCCTGTTCCACATAAGGATAATCAAATGTTGAGGTGTGTCTCCCTACCAGAACTGCTTTGAGAGAACTCTGTTCTCCGTTGCCTGAGAGTATCATGGAAAGCATGTGTTACAATGGACCATGTATTACAATGGAAACTTGTTCTCAGAGATGTGCACAGTCATAATCGGTTGTTGAAGTCTTTCTGTCGGGATATTTTGAATTGCAAAACAGAACCCTACTGAATTAAAAAAAATATATATATATCAGTAGAGCAGCTTAATTTTATGATGGATTTTTGTTACTTCAACCATACTGTCTCTGAGGTATGGATGACCTACAGCTTTGTTTAGATGTTTGAAAAGAGTAAACATACCATCTCAAAGTAATTAAGGGTAAATATAGTGTCTGTTGACTGACCTGAATACTCATATCTCTGAACTTTTCTGTTAACATGCCCATAACCCCTTATTACCACATAAACCACTTCTCAGACTAGTTGATACCTCAACTGTATTGTTGAAAAACACATTTTTGGTGCATCACACAAAATACAAGATGAAGAGTATCACAAAAGCTGATGTCAGAAATTGAGGGAATTTGTGTCAAGGAATAATGGTTTAAATACTGATTATTTTAAAGATAGCATTAATAGTCCAAACAAGGTCTTTATCCGCTCTTATAATTGGAGGGGAGATGTGAGGTGTGTGACTGAAGGGAGAATAAAAACAGATGCTGAAAGGAAGTGAAGGACTTAATAAAAAGGAGTTATTTCTTCTTTTTTTTTTTTTTTTCCTCTCAGCCAATGTGTGATAACCATGATGATGGTGAAACTGCTGCAATCATTTTATGTAATGTCTGTGGGAATTTGTGCACAGACTGTGACCGATTCCTTCATCTCCATCGGCGAACAAAAACTCACCAGAGACAGGTAGAGTATACATGGCCCCCTGTTGTGTGCACTGCATCATGGTGTGCATATTTATATAAATAAAATATAACCAAAAGGTAGTAGGAAATACTGAATCTGAAAAGGTTGTTTTATTTTATTTTTGAGATGGGATAGATGTGTTTCCAGTTAACTCTCCTCAGTTGTTTTTGGATACATTCTCGTGTCCTTTGTCTTTTACAAAAATTAGAAAATCTTGCAGCAGTTCCTAATTCTAGTTCTTATGCTACATCAGCTTTTTCTCTCTTGTTTTTCTCTCTTAGAATGCTTTTTTAGGAGAATTTAGAAGCTGCATAGATTTGTATATGTCGGTTCTTTATTCCTCTTAAATTTTATCTTTACTACTTCTGTCATAGGAGTTAGTGCTTGTCAACCCCTTTATTTCTAATGTATGTGCATTCCTTTTTAATATCCAGGAAGATGATTTGACAGCAAATATTCCTACTAGTTCCCCTAAGAGTTTTGTCTTCTTTTTCATTATTCCTCTAGCTTTCACTGTGTTTTCACATATAAATATGTTGCTCTATCCATAAGCTTGAAAATTTCCTGACTTCTTTTGGATTTGTTTTTAGGATTGAAACTTTGACTAGAGATGAGTTTTTATAACTTGCTGTGTACTCTGCTAATTATTATTTTTTGTGGTATTCTTTTATCCTTTTCATCTCTAAATTTTGAAACTATATTTTCTTTGGATTTTTTCTTTTTGTCATTGAAATTAATGTTGAAGATGCCTTTACTTCTGCAATTATTGAACATTTCCTCTTTCCTGCCACTATTTCTCATTTATTATTTGTTGTGATCCTTTATTTTCCCTTTTCCCTCTGACTACTTATATTTGTACAAGGATTAAAATAATAAATGTCATTAATAAATGACAAATATAATCAAATACTTCACTGAAACTCAGTCCTCTTCTCCCTCTCCTACAATGCATCTATATTAACTTTTTACTTACGTTCAGGAATGGACTTCTAAAGGAGATGATGGTGTCTCCTTAAAGTACAATGTTTTCTCTTATTGAGCAGCCTTGGGGTGCGTGAACGGGATTGTTTTTGTTTGCTTTTAGGTGAAACTAAATGCAAATCAAAAGATAGATGCAGAGACACACTGCTAATGGTCATTCAGTGCAAAGGATAAGCTGTTCTAGAGCACTTGTGATGTAAACATCAGACCTTTGGTACTGAGTTTCACTCTCCAGTGAAACACTCCTCTCTGCTGCCACAGCATTTGCAGTGTAGTCGCAGCCTGGCACTGCCATGTGTGTCTGTTATCTTCTATTTCTTAGCCAGAGTCTTTGCAATCCCCTTTTTTAAATTTTCCTGTTTTGTCATCCTAAGATCATTTTATGTCTACTCTTCTGTCATGCCACAGCACAGTCTAGTCTCATTCATTTTTCTCATTTTTCCTATATAGCCTGTTCAGATTACAGTTGATAAAAAGTAAGTTCTTATCTCATAGAACACCTCACATTTTTCCTTTTATCTGTCCAAAATAGCTACTTACCAGATTTTCCTGTTTACTTCTAAAAGCATGTTTAAATTTTTGCTCGTTATTCACCACTTTTACCTTTACATCTCACGTATTAAGCCTCTCAAATTCAATTTCAATTCTGTCATGTTCCCTCTGTCCTGTTTTCTGTTTGCTTCCTGTTCTTGGTCCAGCTTCAGTCATACATACCTCTTTAATGTATTTTCTCTCCCCTCTAGAAAGGACAGCCTGTAAGTTACTCAGATGTGCTTATGTGAATACTTTGTGAAGCAGCTAGGGATTTTTTTTCTGATTCTAGTAAAAATTAAAGTGAGCTGTGTACATCCATACCTGGGAAAATTCTAACTTTCCTTGCATTACAGGTGAAACAAATGCAAACAGAACTGCCTTCAAAGCTTGGGAAAGGAGCAAAAGAAGAGACTGCATGAAATTCCCTAAGGATCTCTTGCAGTTTTTTTATTTTGCAAAAACTTTATATTTTCCTCATTGTAGCCAAAAATATCCACTGTGTATTTATATGAAAGTCAAAAATATTAATATTACACACTTCTATAATTGTTACTCTGTAGTACTTGTTATTAAGACCTTAATTCTCAGTGTTGCTTTGATAAGCTACTAGCATGGTTATGTGAAAATATTTCTGATGTTGTATTGTGCTTTTAATATTCTGTGCCTGCTGGATATGTTGTGTAGGAATTTGAAGTCCAAGGTCTGTATTTATTAAATCAGAAAAAATTGTGCAGCTCTATTCTTAGCATTGCTACACTATTGTTTCTCCGCCATGTTAGATCAAGAGTTAATTTTATTCATTTTTACTTCTAAAATGAAACCTTTATCCTGCATATCTGCAATATGTACCAGTTATAGAACATGTAAAAGAAAAACAGCTTTCAGTAGACAATCTCACAGAATCTATAAAATGTCTGGTATAAATCCAAAGAGGAATAACAGAGACGGGTTCATGCTCTAATTAAACACGCTGTTTAACTTGACAGGTGTTCAAAGAAGAAGAAGAAGCTATCAAAGTTGATCTCCATGAGGGCTGTGGTAGGACCAAACTTTTCTGGCTGATGGCATTAGCAGATTCAAAAACTATGAAGGCTATGGTGGAGTTTAGAGAACAGACAGGTAAAACACAACTGTTACTACTTGCTCTTGATCCTGCTTATTGTGATTTTCACCTGCTTTAGGGCAATGCTTTTAAATATTTGTTAATAAAAGTAGAATAGTTTAGCTGCATAAGAATTGTTGGCTTTCTGGTTGTTTCCTGTGAATGCTGCTTTGATGTCTGATAGAGTATCAGTCCCTTGTGTTTCATGAGATCATTTTTGGCCTTGTTGTCTCTTGTGCCGTAGGCAAACCGACCACCAGCAGTTCTGAAGCATGCCGGTTCTGTGGATGTAGGAGTGGAACAGAATTATCAGCAGTGGGAAGTGTTTGTTCTGATACGGACTGCCAGGTGTGTATTAGCAAGTATCAAGCATCATTAATTACGTAAATAGAAGAGATCATAGTTTGAAATGGGTTTCTTATTTTGAACAAACCTTGTTTATCCCTGTGGTCCATTTTAAATCAGATCTGTCCTATGAAAAGTTTCTAATATTGAATATCACCATTCAAATACTTCTGAGTTTGTAAATGTTTTAATTACAGACTATGAACACGAATAGTCAACTTAGGTACTGGGTAGTTTCATTATTATCTTCAGAATCATTCTTAAGTTTTCACAAGTCTATTGTGCACCTCAAGTTTTCACAACAGCCTTGCAATTATAAAGTAAAATACACACTGTCAGTATAAAGTCAAATGTACTGGAAAGCTCGATAAAAAGTTTGCTCAAGAGCCTGTGTATTATGTGAGTGTAGAACATTTAAGACTTGGCCAGGTTTCTCATCTGTAGCCACGTATCCTGAGTGTTTCTGTGCCCTACACTGGGTGCAATTGGCAGAGGGCCCAAATCATAACCAGTTTCTTACTTTGCCTTACTTATTTCTGTCTAAGTGAAGCAAATTGGTCATCTTTTTTTCTCTGTCAGCCTATACAGAGGACCTAATACAGTTCATTAATGAACAGTTAACTAACAGTTCATTACAGTTATAAATTAGTTCAATTTGTTGCTAGCTTCTGGGTAACGTCTGTAGGTTTTCTGTTTAGTAGGGATGGGAATTAGAAGTGGTTAAAAATCCATTTCCATGTAAAATCACTTTATGCTGATTAATGATTAGCTTATAATGTATTCTTAAAGGGTGAGTTACTTGAAGCTTCTCCAAAATCTGCAGGTACCTTAAAGGCTGTTAATACAGGGTCAGCACTCAATATATAAGAAGCACACAAAGAAAAAGAGGATCAAAGAACAGTTCTCTTTCTATTGAAAGTTTTAAATTATGGTTTCATTAAGCCGTTTGCATTCAGGAGCAGTGCAGGTAAACAAAGGAGAAATTGTTATTTCAAGTACACGACGTTCAGCTTGTCCCAAGTACCTGAGGCAGCAGCAGACAATACAAACCATTATTCTTCCATCTCAGTTTATTGCACGGACCAGCAGTCCTTCAAAAAGCGACACTGTCAGAACACTCAGTGAAGGGGAAGAGATGATTAACTCTCTACTTTATATTTGTTTAGGAGTATGCTAAGATTGCCTGCAGCAAGACACACCCCTGCGGTCACCCCTGCGGAGGTGTTAAGAACGAAGAGCACTGTTTGCCGTGCCTGCATGGCTGCGATAAAAACGCTACAACTCTGAAACAAGATGCTGATGACATGTGCATGATCTGCTTTACTGAAGCACTTTCAGCAGCACCAGCTATCCAGGTTTTTTGTTTGTTTGTTTTGTTCCCCTTTTAAGAGATTACTATTATGATTGTAATGTGTAGTATGAAGGAAGTGAAAATATAAAGTCTTTCAAATTACGCTTTTCAAAATTTGAAAACAGACACCAATAGTTAACAATAGTTAAGCTACTCAAAAAGTTTTCTTTTTGTCTGGCATTCTGTTTCAAGAAAGCAGATTGGATCAATTCAGTTTGTTATGTCTACTTTGTTAAATACATGGTATTTTATAAAGGAGTAAAACAACTGAGGTAATTAGTTTAAATAATTCACATTTATTTCATACATCCATACGTGATCTTGGTGTGGTTATGATTTTAATGCCCATTTTATGTTCTTTCGTGTTGTTAAGAAGAAAATAGGGATCTTCTAGGGTTGCAAATAAATTAATACTGGAATTGATATATGTTGCCATGTTGCCACTTAAAAGCAAATAACTGCTTCTACTTTAGTGGTTAATGTAACTTCAGTATTCACTTACACTTAACTCTTTTCTAAAGCTGGACTGCAGCCATGTTTTCCATTTGCAATGCTGTCAGCGAGTACTAGAAAACAGATGGCTTGGCCCAAGGATTACTTTCGGGTTTATGTCCTGCCCAATTTGCAAGGTAAATGAGCTGTTTCCCTGCCAAAGTCAAAAAACTTACCTGATACTTTCCTTTTCATTTTTTTTCTTTTTTCTTTTTTTTTTGTTAATACTGTATTGCTTGGTACAGTGTAAATGAGTTATACGTGACTTGTTTTCTTAAGTCCACATGTTGCTATAGAAAGACTAGCATTGATGCATCCTTTTACTTTCTCCTACTGTTCCCTGAGGTGTCCTCTTAAAAAGAAAGCATAGTCCAGACATCGTCTTAATATTGTTTCATTCTTACCAACATCAGCTTGTGAATTCCCAGTATTTGGTGATAGCGGGGAGGGGAAGAAGTAATCTTAAAGCACACTATTTTGAAGCAGGAATTCTCTATTCTTCTATTTTACTAACCACTTTTAAAGCTGCTTTGCTTTTCAGTATGAGGGCAGAGCCAAAGAATACATGTATTTAGTTCAGCAAAGTTACTAACAATTCCTCTTGAACTCCATAAAATTTAAATTGCTGTAAGCAAAAGCACATAATAGCCACTGGAAAGAAGAGCACCTTACCCCACCCTAGGAAGTTGAAATTTGGGAATGGTCAGCTATTCTGCATGCTTGTGGTTCTTCTGTCATGTGTTGTGGTAATTAATGGCAGTGGCTTGTGGTCACTAATTGATAAAGAACTGCCATAGAGGACTGTCAGTCATTATGCTTACTTGCTGAGCAAAAGGACCAAGATTACAGAAATATTCCTGTGCTGTGGTGAATATTTCATAAGCTCTTCACCACCTCCCTGGCTGTTAGTCTGTTGGAAGAGTTGATGCTCCCATATCACAACAGGCCATAGAAAAAGCCTTCATGGATACCATTTTTACAGCAAATAGAGTGCATTCTCTATCAGCCATTTTTTGAAATGTCCACTGTCCAGGCCTGTATGTTTTTATGACATCTGTCATGCTATTTGTGCCTGACTATAACACAAATAATCATAGCTGTTGGGATAAAGATGCACGATACTTTAATCAGCTTTTTTTTTATTTCAGAACAAAATCAATCACACAGTATTAAAGGATTTGCTTGATCCAATCAAAGAACTCTATGAAGATGTAAGGAGAAAAGCACTAATGAGATTGGAGTATGAAGGGCTGCACAAGAGTGAGGCCATCACAACGCCAGGTGTTAGATTTTATAATGACCCAGCTGGCTATGCTATGAACAGATATGCTTATTACGTTTGCTACAAGTGCAAAAAGGTATGGTGGTATTTACTAAATGGATGTTACCATTTCACAAGTAATTTCTTAAAACAGAACAGATGTTTAATACATTGTGTATGCAGCAGAAAGGCAGGAAAAGATGTCGCTTATAGAATCATAATTTAAAAAATTGAGTGTTGGGCTAATGAGATGTAAATAGTATCCTAGCTAGTAAAGCTCAAGCATGTATACAGAGCAGCTCAGAAACCAAAAGCACCTCGAGTCAATGGCCACTTACAAGAAGGTGCATTGCCTACTTCCTCCGGTACCTATTCACCTCAAGCTGCTACTTAATGCTGACATAGGGTTCACTGAGCATCCAAATGCTGTTCCAAAAGCCTTAGAGTCCCTGGCAAAGAGCAGGCTATATTGCAGTTTTTGGTCTTGTTCATCCTGAGACTGAGGGACATTCCGAGTGCCTCAAGACCACGTACCTGCAGAGTTAAGAGAGCTCAGAAGAGTGGAGGCCACTGAAATGGTAGTCATTTGTCATATTCCCCTTACAAATGGAATTGCTTAAACTGAAAAGAATTGTTAAAAGAACAATTGTCTCTGATTTAACATCCAATCATTTCTATATGCAATTAAGGCATATTTTGGTGGTGAAGCTCGTTGTGATGCTGAGGCTGGACAAGGAGATGATTATGATCCAAGAGAACTTATTTGTGGTGCCTGCTCTGATGTTTCAAGGGCTCAGGTAAGTAAATATTTTCTATTCATGTTTTTATTTCATTCTGAAACTCTGAGTACCTGAGCTGTACAATAATTCACAGTCATTCGTAATTACATGTATTGTACAATATTGTATACCATTATTGTTTTCTACAGAAGGTAGAAGTGAGTTGTTGGGATTGTTAAACATGGCTACTTCACTGACTGGTGTTTGCTTTCCTTTGTTCAGATGTGTCCCAAACACGGTACGGATTTCTTAGAGTACAAATGCCGCTACTGCTGTTCAGTTGCCGTTTTTTTCTGTTTCGGGACAACGCATTTTTGCAATGCTTGCCATGATGATTTCCAAAGAATGACAAGCATCCCTAAAGAAGAGCTCCCACACTGTCCTGCAGGTAGGACTTTGACAAAGCAAATTTACCACACTAAATTCTGAAATAAATTATAAGTTCTAATTGATATTAGCTCTTCTTGGTGGTATTTTCTTGGTTTTCTGGCAATGTCATTGCACTGATCATGTAAACATTAGGAACTTTGATAGAGAAAGACATTTCAATTTCCCTCTATCAGGTCAGATTCCAGATGTAGAATGATGTGTAAAATGGTATATTGATAAAATTAACACATTATTAAGTGATGTATGTGTAGTTAGGTAGCCATTATCTGCAAACTGTTGCCCCAATGCCTTAATTACTAAGTTCATTTGCTGTATATTGATTTTATACAGCAAATGACTGGGGGTTAAAAGTGCAATTTTTTTCATTAAAATATTTACATAAAATAAGTAAACAAATAAATTAGGACTCCTGCTATAACCTTAGAATTGTTTACTGCAGAACATAACCCTTGCGCATTATTCAGTTTTTTTTCTTAGCTTGTGCAAATTTCTTCCACAATATTAATGAGATAAAACTTCCTTAAGTGACTGTCTGTAAGCATCTTGCATTTTTTTATTTGAATTTGATTGGTTTCAGTTACATGGTAGTTTGATCTATTTTTTTGCTCTTCAAATACCAATTCAACATTTGAACAAGACAAATTACCTTCACTTAGTTTGGGTTTTTTTTGAGGAAATGTAATACATGTTTGTTTACATTGTCTGCAAGCATTAATCTAGTCTATTCTTTTTTTCCTTTATCCTTACATTCACTGTAGGTCCCAAAGGTAAACAACTTGAAGGAACAGAATGTCCACTTCATGTTGTCCATCCACCCACTGGTGAAGAATTTGCTCTGGGTTGTGGGGTTTGCAGAAATGCACACACTTTTTAGAATAGCATTTTTTTTAACCAGAGCAGAACAGGTGCCCTCATCCCTCAAGTGTCCTGAAAACAAAGTCCATCTGGGATGAGGATGGGACCATTCCATAACCCAGGTAAAAGGAACAATTTACAGTGCAAGAAGGATGCCAAATACCATGTACATAATTCTTGCTGTGAGATATTGACATTTTTTGAACCGAGACATCAAAATTTGTGAGGTGTTTGCATGTGGCCATTACAGTCATCGGCTAGGAAACATTGGACATTTACAAATAAACAATTGTTATTAAAGGATCTGTGTGTCTGTGGACTATGAATGATGCTGGCTTTCAGACGAAAGAAAAAATATTGATTATTGTATACTGACTTTTTGTAATCTTGTACAATTGTAACGCATCACAAGTGGGGATGGGAAAGAGGAATATTCTGGTTTATTTCCTAGACTGTTATAAAAAATGTGTTAGGAAGGCATAAATGTAACAAGTATCACCCTGTATATAAAGGTATCAATGTTTGTCCTGTATAAGAAATATTAAATTACAACAGCAGTTTCATTTAAACTTCTGGGTTATGTTTGAGCCTGAAATTTTAATGAAGTGCAATACTGAGTGTGCCTCATATCTTGCAGCTGTAAACATAATGGAATGTACATGTCAATAAAGCCACTGTACATTTTTATACAGTGAAAGTCTAACAAATGTGTAAGCCTCCATTTTCAGAAACACTCTTAAAACAGAGTGGGGGAGTGGGGAGGGAAGGGGAAGAAGAGAGGTGTCCTGTAATTATGTCAGCAGACTCTTGAAAAGTAGGAAAGTTTTTGGGTAAACTGGTGGTTATGGAAGTACTTAAGATGTGAAAAGCACGACTCCATTTCTCAACAGAAAAGTTGGATAAATGTTCTAGCATGCATGTAGAATTGTATTGCCATTTCAATTACCAACAGTGTTTTAAAACACAAAAGAAGACTGCATTTAAATTATTTTTGATCAGTTTTATTTTACTGAAGACTCCTAATATTTTAGAACAGTTTAAGACTCCCACTTTTAGGACAAACAGCTTTTTGAATTTCAAAATGTTCATGTTATAAGAGTCCTAAGTCCTCTGCACCTGCATAATGAATGCAGAATATAACTTCAAGTGAAAACTTCTATTTGTTAAGATTTTTCTCTTTGGATTTTTTTTCGTAGATGTGTTCAACTCCCTTTCTAACATTTCTGTCTTGAACCTGATGAAAAGTGTGTTACTGCCTTTTACATTTAAGATATTGGTAGATGGCATCCACACCAGACAATCTTGATAAGATTGGAACCGTGGGATCCATCTTGCCTATCTTCAGACATCTGGAATCAGAGAATCACAGAAAGGTTGGCGTTGGAAGAGACTTCTGCAGACCATCTTGTCCAACGCCCCCTGCTAAAACAGGTTCACCTAGAGCAGCATATATACCTGCACTTTAAAATAGTTCTGCCTAGTTCACACCCCTGTGAGGTACAATTGATCTTATTCACTGTAGCTCTGCCGAGGGATCGGGACGGGCTGGATCAGTGGGCCGAGGCCAGTTGTGTGAAGTTCAACAAGGCCAAGTGCTGGATCCTGCACTTGGGTCACAGCAACCCCATGCCGTGCCACAGGCTGGGGGAAGGGCTGGAAAGCTGCCCAGCAGCAAAGGACCTGGGGGTGCTGGTCAACAGCACCTGAACATGAGCCAGCAGGGTGCCCAGGTGGCCAAGAGAGCCAGTGGCCTCTGACCTGTGTCAAAAATAGTGTGGCCAGCAGGGCCAGGGAAGTGATTGTCCCTGTATTGGGTATCTGACCCATTGTCATTTTTAGAAAATCAAGAGTGTAGCACCATCTATTTTTTTCAGCTTCCTCTTTAATTTCAGATTAATATGAGTGTTAATTTAGGAAATTAAGATTATGGTGTGGACATAGCTGACCATCCCCTATCACCACTCCAGGGAGGCAGCACAGCCACGTGTGAACATCAGGCTCTTGCACAGAGCTCAACTTCTCACGTAATGGTTGAACCTTGGGCACGCTGCTCCCACACTGTCTCAGACATTCACGTCACCGCATCCCCCCACGCCGATCTCTGCCGGTGATTATAGCAGATGCCGGCACAGGCTGCTAATCAGATCAGTCCACAATAAGATTGCTGTATGCCTTTCCAGCAGTCTCACATGTTTTTCTGTCAGCTGTTGATCCACTGCCCACGCAGTGGAAATAGTCAGTTCTCGTTTGTACCACCCTGTTTGCCACAGCCCACCACACTCAGCTAATTTATACCAAACTCAGCTGCTGGCCAAGGCGAGGCCTCAGTGCTCACACTTGGGTTGTTAGTTTAAAAATAGCTTAAACTTTTATGGGTGTATCCACCCATTGAACACAATGTGAACAATAAAAGTTAATAAGATACAGCTAATTAACATGTCATCATCAGGGCCAAATAAACTTGGTCCTTACAAAACAGGTTTTGCTAATTCCATCATGTTTCTAGGTTCATGTTTCACCTAGACAGAGGCTTAGCTAGGGAGTTGCAGGCCCACCCAGCCATTCAGGATAGAGCTCAAACTTTGCAGGGTTTTTCCGCAGCACTCTTTAAGCCATGCCACATACTGCAGGTGCGAGAGTGCAGTGGTTGTAGGGCAGAGGCTTGTCCCTCAGCCCAAGGTGCACTGGAACGGCTGTGCTGTCACAGCCCCCACTCTCACCGATGGGGTGTGGTAGTGAGCTTGTGCTGCCCAACATTCCAGGATCTGGCTCCTCACCAGGCATTCCTACAGAGATGCAGCCAAATACAGAACAACACACTGATTACACAGCAGCCAGATGCAATGGGGACTGCGATTATTATTGATAATCACCCAGAGATGTCCCCTGCCACCTGGTCCAGGGAGTTTTCTCAGGTAATACCCACCACTGCAGTCTCTTGGGATTCAGGAGATGCTCTCTGCTCTTGCCTCAGTGTTACATGTAGGCTGTGGCTGCTCATTTAAATACAATCTCTTTGGATGTACCAAGTTTCTGTGTACCTGAAAGGGGATTTGAACACTGAAACCTTGGATGGGTACTTGAGACAGTGCTTTGGGTCATCCACTGAGCAGTACACAGTCTCCTTTGCTACTGCCATCCATGGCATTGCTTCTATACTCCCACTCATTTCTGCATCCCAAGTGATTCAAGCATCCTTAGCCCATGTTAGGTCTCAGCTAATCTAGTATTTCCACCTCCCTGTCTGTTCATTCAGTAATATTCCTTTCCTGAATGTGACTCTGTCATCATAATACATCCTCCCCTGTAGAGTTTAACTTTTCTGCTCACTCAGCTGCCCTGGAGAGCATTCCCATTCCACCCAGCCCCGTTCCTAGGTCTCACCTCTGCCATGTACTCTGACAGAACAGCCATTAGAGGAAGGAAGGATGGCATTGAGTATGCTGGCACACAAAGGGAATGCATACTTCACTGTGGCCATGTGGGCAGCAGTGTCACATCACTTTAAGCTAGAGATTCAGGAGGTTTGGTGTGAATGGGGTATGATCTCACCATCCTAATGCCAATTCCTAGCAAAGATACTTAGAAACCTGGCTGGTGGACCTGAACAACAGCTTTTTAAAAGCATTTGCCCGAGGGCAGGTTGTTCAGTGGACCCTGTCACAGAGCAGTAATTGCAATGGGATGATCCAAGCTACAGGGTAAACACAGCTCTCCACAGATTTTGCTCTAATGGACATAACACGTGTAAGATGATACGCTGGGTTTGTATCCATCTCTGTTTCCCTTTTCTCCAATACAAACAGAATTTGAGCAACAACATTCCAGTTGTTACTCATAAGATAGTCGTCTCTATTTCTACATCTTTGGCTTTTTCCATACTCCTAGTGGGTTGTGGAATGGCCTAGGTTCATAAATCTTTATTTCCCTCTTGATGGAGGCTGGACACAACTATGTACCTCCCACCAAGCAACTCCTAAATTTTGGCACAGCCAGAGTGCCTTACTGCTGACTGAATTTGACCTTTCCCATGAATAGGTGCCCACAGGCAGGACTTTGGATCTGTTCATCCAACACTCTCATACAATCAAGGAACTGGTCAATAACTTCTGGGTTTTGCCTGCAGTGCTAGGATACAAGACTTAGAAACAAACCATGTTTGAAAAACAGCTTTAGGGTGCCCTTGCAGGACACATTTCACATCACACATAAGGTACCCTCCTTCCATGCCTTGGTACGAAGACCAATCCTCATACAAATGCCAGCCCCCCTTAGCAATAAGTCTGTTTGGGAATTTTTACTGCTGTGGCTTGCTGATCACATTAACTCCTCACCCACTGGCAGAGTCAATGGAACTGATTTGCAAGGAGCTACACAAAGCACAGAGAAAATTCCTGTAAACCAAAGAACTCTACTGGCAGGATGCTGTCAGACCAACCTACCAATGAGCTGGCACTGCCTTTTCCAGCAGCACTGCTCTGTCCATGGATCAGCCATGGCAAAGATGAGGTGCTGTCTGTGCTGCAGGGCACAGCTCAGCCCACTCTGCCCGTTTGTACGCAGCCCTAGCCAAGGCCATGCCACGAGACTCCCCTGTCAGAGGGGCTCCAGCAAACAAGCTTTCACTGTATTACCTAACAAAATAGAGTGGTACAACAGCTTTTACCCACGAAGCAACCATGGGAGCCATTCATCTGGAAAGAATTACTAGATCCTCTAGAGACAGAAACAATATTTAGACAGCGAGAAACCTTTAAAAAGAATTATCTCCAGCTTCTACTGAACCATGAGCAACAACATCAGGTAATCAGCCTGTTGCAGGCAACGTTCTATCCTGCTGTTGCTCATCCTTAATTTTATCTTTGTATTTTTCTGTGGCCATGAGGCCTTAAATTGAGGCCTGCTGCTTTAAAGACCATTTTATTTGCAGCTACTGTTTAAAAAAAAAAAAAAAAAAAAAAAAAAGGATACTGAAAAAAAAAAAAAAAAAAAAAAAGAAAACTTGAGTTACAGCTTCTATTCTGTAAGGTCTTTTTAGCAGTCCATAATACCACATTCTAACAGTATAAGAAAGTCCCTCACCACAGAAAATCTTCCTGTATAGACATGTTGAGAAAATAAAACCAGGAAGTTTCCCTAATGATATCCATTACTGAAAAAACATTCACTTCTTTTGGCATTGCTAATTAATAGGTTCAGCTTTCCTCTGTATTTTCTTTTTCAGCATAATCTGCTGAGAATTAAGATTGTCACAGACATTCTAGACCAGGTCTTTCAGCCACTACTCATCACATTAATATTCTCCATATTTTTCAGAACTTCTATTTTCATTCAGTCAGAGCTACTCATGCCCTGCAAGCCTGACATACTTTCATCATAGCTGGATCTGGTCTGCTATGGTTACTTAACTCTCTTCCAACTGCTACTGTGATTTTCCCCTCTGGATTCTTATCCTAGCCAAATGCAAGCCAGGCTTATCAGGGTGGAGCACAGCGCCTTGCTTCAGGAATGCTTCAGAGCTACTTGAATATGGCCAGAAAATCAGCACAGTAGACTTTCAGTGCTAAAAGGTGCAGCATTTATACTCAAGACCTGGCTCTTGAAACATTGTTGTGGCTTCATCAGGCAGGCAGTCTGCCAGCTGAAATGAGGTGTTCTGTACAACCTCAGCCTGAGGTGGTGAGATCCCCTGTTAGA